TTATGGATCGTGCAATGGAGATTACATTGAATAATAACACTGCATATTTTAATCACTATGAAATCGAATAACCACTTGCACTTTCTATTAATTTTAGCGATCAAAATAGGCAATAGGCGAAACGTAGGACAGTTTCTAGGTAGCGTGTATGCAACCCGGGAGCCCAACCACCACAGCCTCCTCTCTCGTCTACTACCACCGTTCCCCACCCAGACTCCGTCGAGGTCCACCAGCAGCTTGATTTTGATTGCCTCTCCCTTTCACTGCATCTTTTTCGAGTCGAGGCACATAATTGCGATTCCGATCGGAAACTTTTGACATCTCTAATCGGAACAATAGTTGATATAACTCACAAATTAGAAAGATATGAATGGAAGATAAGAATCAAAATCTGGACCCAGGAGAGGGCGCGCGCGAAACACTCTGTAACCTGCAGGTGGCGCCTCTGTCTCGCAGGTTTTCGTCCGTGCTCATGACGGTTTCCGTCATATTTTTCTATTTTGAAAAATATTTAATTTATTTAATAAACATCTTCGAAATAGTAAAGAATACATGCTATCATTTATTTAAATCATCACAGAGCATTGTGTCCTTCGTCTTTAATGACAAGTAACATGGTGTATGTTGTATGCAATTTTTGTACTACATAAATAAGTAGGAATGAATACATAAACTATTTCAAACCCCGTAATCTATCTAGTTGTATAAAAGCTTTCAATACGTCGTGATTGATTACAGTTTTGAAAAAAATATGAAGTAATTCCTAATAATTTTACCTTGTTTTATTCCTTTACTTATTTTCCTGCTTCTTCAATGGCGTTTATTATAATAACTAGGTCGAATACATCTTGAAGATTAAATAGGTAAATTAAAAAAAGTTTTAATGCACAGCATGAATGTAGAAGAGCGAGTAACAAAGGCTTTAAATTTGTGGTAGTTATCATTTGAATCAAAATAACGAAATACGTCTTTCACACACACTTTTCACGTCATAATTTTCGAAATGTTATTTAATTCGCACACTTGGCGTAATAAGGCTACATCTGCAAATTGTCAAATTTTTAGTAGAGGTTTTAAGATTGTACTAACAAAATAAGTCGATAACTGTTTATGCTTAAATATTACAGGACTAATAAAATTTCATGTCTAAACTACATTGTTTCATGTTTTTATGACTTTCATATTATTATGATAAAAACACTCTTGACGTATGATAATTTATGTGGCTTTATTACCTATACGAATTCTCGATTCGGTTATTTGTTGTATAACTAATCTCTGATTCAAAGTCAAAGTCAAAGTCAAAGATCATTTATTCCATAGGTAAAATAAATTTACACTTGAAAACGTTTAAGCTACTGCTCGTTCACTACGCTGACTTCCCTGAGAAGAACAAGGACGAAACTCTAGGGATTGCTCTTTTCAAATAAACTTACGAGTAAATGCTATAGAATGCAGTTTGAATTAAATTTGTGTGGATTCTGGAGCCGTGTCGTTTTTCCATACATCTTTATCTAATACGTACTCTTCAATTTTATAATATGACTTTTCTTAAGTTTAGGAAATGATAATCTTAATTATGCTTCGGAATCTTATTGTAAAAACGTATACAGTTCCCCATAAAAGAGTCGTTTACCTTGGTTAATCGAAATCGCGGTACCATGAGTTTGGACTTGGCTCTAGGGTTAATATTATGGATATCTCCTTTCTTATTGAAATTATGTATATTTTTATGGGCATATAAAATATTTGAGTGAATGTACTGTGACACCACAGTCATGATACCACTCTCCTTAAACTTTTCTCTAAGAGAAACCCGAGAACCTAGACGGTATACAGAACGAATCGCTCGTTTTGCAATACAAATATGGTTTAAATATCTGCCGCTTTACCCCACATGAGAATCCCGTAGAACATTATACTATGGAAGTAAACTACTCCAGCAGTACTAACATCGATAAGCTCACGTATTCAGCGGACTGCGTATGCAGCGGAGCTTAATCTGCTGGCCAGTGAAGATATATGTGGAAACCATTGAAGTTTAATATCTAAGGTAACCAAGAAGACTGCTTTATTAACAAGGTCTAACTTTCTTTTTATTTGTTTTTCTTGTCCTGATGCAAAATTATAAAAGTACTTCGCACTGAAGTTGTACTGGTTCTAGATAGATTTTCTAATTTATAGGTATTTTCTTCAGTCACATGAATTACTGAAGAACAAGTGAGGCATTAGAGATAGGTACGAAAATTAGGTACAATTTAAAATAGTCTTTTATTTCTACAAATTCATAAGTCTTGCTTATTCTTGCTTATGAATTTTTAATACATGAAAATTAAATCTCTTTGTACTTCGTAATTCTAAGTTATATAAGCATTACTCGGAGCCTAAGGGAATATTCAAAGTCCGTGACCAACGATGCTATACATATAAAAAAAAAATATTCAATAGACGTCGAACTAAGTACCAGGTTAAACGTTAGCAGCTATGGAGCTTGATTTTGACATACTGTTTTCATTGCCATTACGGTGTTTGAAATTAAACGGTGGTTACCCATTTTATAAAAGAAACCTTAAATGGTTCGTCAGATGTTTTGGGGTGGAAGGGTTATTTTCATATATATTTCTGGGTCTCATCTACCAAAGCATACATTACGATCTCAAGGACGGTGATATGTTAGCAGCCTGTGGTAATGGTACCTTAATGGTGATGTATCTAGTAATTACTTTTATGCTAGGTGTGTTATTGAAACATAAATCAACTTTTTGTGAACTGATAAACCTTATGAAAGCAGACTATGAATATGCTAAAACGAAGTTGTCTCCTGATGACCAAAAATTAGTACTGGAGTACGCTCTAATGGCGCGGACCGTTTCAATATGGTGGGGTTATCTAGTTTTTGTTGGGGCTCTAGCATTTCCTGGACAAGCAATAGCCCTTACGATTTATTATAGCGTAAAGGATACATTTAGAGTGGTGGATATGTTTCCTTTGAGATATCCTGAACGAATGGAGGAGTTCATGGGTCCTGTAATACAAAGCATACTTACGAACTTCTTGATTTTCTTTTTCGAGTTTTGCTCTTATGCAGGATATGTAGGCATAGTACCTCTTGGGCCGACTTTCATGTTGCATGTTTGCGGCAAAATAGCACTAGTCGAAAGACGTGTCAAACTATTATTTTCTGATATTGAGTATTCACCCTTAAACACAAAAAGAAAATTGAGTGACATTGTTCAGCAAATACAAAATATTTACAGGTTCGTTAATAAGGCGTAATACAGAACATTTCATAAATAGCTTTTGAAATTATGTCTTCATTTCTAACAATTACTACTTTTTTAGTTTTGTAGAAAAAATCCAGACAGCTTTTGAAGTATTTTACGAGTTTTCATTAAAAGGAACCTCTCTTATACTCCCGTTGATGATATTTTTGATTCTAGAGGTATGTTATATATAAATAACAACAGTAACAAAATTTTATCACCATGTATTTCGCTTCTCTCTTTAGCGTCTTTCAATTTACGCTGCGACAGCGGTAAAGGTGTAATGTGTGAATATGTTTAGAGTTAATACGAATATTGTTACTATTTCCTTAATGACGGCCACTGTTATAGGCTTGGGCCAGTGTCAATTTCGATGTATGTTGACGGTTAGATAATACCGGACCTCTCACGCCTCTAGGGTTGCTTAGGAGCGCCCGTGTGGATCCCTAAGTTTTAAATTTTGTTACATAGTCCAAAAATTAGTCTTCGTTGTGATATTTAAATATATCCAATGAAATAGTTGCTCTACCTTATTTATATTACTATTTAATCTAATTATACTCAATAAAATGTAGCTTGATTTTCTTAATATGAGTAGCACAGGATTTTTTTGATTTAGGCTTGTGCCAGTGTCAGTTTTATAAGAACAATACTTAGAAGATGGAAATAGTCAGGAATAATGGAATAATATAAAAATTATGGCAATCATCGCCAGTGTTAGTGAATAAAAAAATCTATTGCATTTTTCTGCGATCATCAAACCGTTTGGCAAGCATGCCAGTTCTGACAAGGATTTCTTTTCTAAAAAAAAGGTACATGCTTCTCCACCGCTTGCCAATAATAGTTAATGTGGTGAACATGAATAGTGTTCAATGATTTTTAATCTGCAACAAAATAACGAATGATTGAAATGAACAGTTTTTTTAATTAATATATTTCAGTCGCTCAAGCAAGCTCATCTACCAGTGGAGTTTATTACAATTGCCTTCGGCGCCGTTGTTTTAAGCAGTATTCCTTGTTATTACAGCGATAAGTTATTGGAAAAAGTACGGTTTGTCAATACGATATTTCTATAATTATACTGCGTTCCTACATGTATTGCTTTTTATTATTTTTCTTTTTTTGGGCTGATGTTACATTACCGCGGAGCAGAATGTGAGCGAATTTTCTTAACGAAGAAGTAAGCATAATGAACTTCATGTTTTTTTTAATGATATCAAGCGACGGGGCGAACATTTCATGCGCTTAGTGGTAAAGGGCATTCTACGGCCCGTGACCCATTTTGGGACCAGAGCCGCGCGTTTCGCGCAAGGGCGCCAATGGGTAGAGCGCTAACTTCAAAACCGCGGCGCGAACGCGCGGGCGACTTAAAAGCTCTCGATTATACTCGAATAAGTGCTGCCATGCACCATGCGCGTCATCGACCCGAAGCCACCCGAACTCGTCCGTTTCGCGAGCTCGCTCGTACAAATCTGCGCGTTTTACATCACAGGCCGTGGGAACGCACCTAAGCACTCTAAAGCTTTTTACCGTAGAGACAGAATGAATCTGGATGAAGTTGAGAATACTCACTGTTTATGAGTTCATTTTTCTCACTACAAAGCCCAACACCAACCAACAGAGTTTAGATGGAGATGTGCTCCATCTGAATCACATAGTACGTAAATGAAGCACGTAGTCATAGTCTAGCAATATAATGACAACAAGAACAAAGGGAAGAAAGCATGCCTACACTAACGTGTTGCCAGCGACGGTATCTATAATATAATATAGTAAAGTTGTTCTCTGTTTTTTTTTTACATACAGGGTGAAAGTCTAAGCGAGTCGATATACACAAGCGGTTGGGAGAATCACTGGGACAAAGGTTCTCGGTCCACCCTTTTGATTATCCTGCTTCGCGCTACTCGCCCAGTTGTACTGAGAACTATGTTTCGGAACATATGTTTGGATGCTCTAACCGACGTAAGCACATAATTATAATGTATGATCGTTAACCCATGTATGTCCCTGCTAGACATTGGCCTCTTTTAACCATCTTTTAACCCATTCATGGACAGAAAGGCGTTTATGTAACCGTAAAATTAAATATCAGAATATGATAGTACGGGATATCCCATTCCGCTATCTGGATTTCAAAAAACCCACTATGGTCCTTATAGTGTGATTTCCCAATGCTTTCTTTGTAGACGCTAAATTGCATACTTACTTTTGTTTTTCAAACAAGCCAGCCGTGACCATGAGACCTGTAAAAGGCCCGAAATATTGGATAGTTAGAAAAAATAATTATAGGTACGTGATTTAGACTAAAAAAATAGTTTTATATCCAATATGTAGCAATCGCGATACCCTAATAATTCGATATAATTATGGCTTTTTATGTTCTGATAAAACTATCAAAAAGTACTACTTCGTCTTTTTTATTTCTTGTTGCAGGTTTTTCGTGATGCGTATTCCTTATTTAACCTGCTGCATGCCACTGTTTAAAGATATCTTGTATTTAAAGTAGTGATGAAAGAGACTCAGTCTTTTAAGGCCTTTCAAAAAACCTCGACTTATTTTCAACGCCTCGCGACTAGTTTAGTCTTTTAACCCTCAAGTCTTGAGTCATAAGAGTAAAACTGAAGACTAATTCGAGTCGAAGTCTTTTAACCCTAGGAAGCTTAAAAGACTTATAGGACTAAAACGCCTAAAAAGACTACAACAACTAAAACGACTGGCGCCTCATAGCCTCGGGAGTCGCGAGTCATAAGCCGTATGGCGTGATTTTATTTCTACCCACGAGGTATTTATTTTACGATTTTTATTATAAGTAAATAAACGTGATTATTTACTACATACTACTTACGTCATTTTTATTTATAAACTTCGTGTTTAAATTTATGTCTTAACATAAAATAGGTATAAGTCCTTTGCAAACAACTCGAGTCGTTTAAGTCTTTCAAGTCGTTTAAGTCTTTTAAGACGTTAAAGTCGTGAGTCTTTTAAGTCTTTTAGTATAACGACTGAGTCTTATTAATAAAAACTCGAACCCCCAGTCATAATTTTAGAGTCGATTCCTGTAAAATGGAGTCGAGTCGTTATAAAACGCCTTAAAAGACTGAGTCTCTTTCATCACTAATTCAAATATATAGATATATGTACTACTCGCAATCAACGTTAAATAATTTTCGCTCTCTGTTATACTATGAATAATTAATGTAAAACTAACATATTAACAGAAGTAATTATTTTAATTTTATGACACTACATTGACGACTAAAAATAATATTTACTGAGGTGTGACGCAGAAGCTCGCCTGCATGACCCGTTTCGAAATGTGAACATAATAAATTATTGATTTTAATATTATACATACATATCTTCGTGTTTCTTGTACTTATTTCAAGACTTTACCTACTAGCTCTTAGTTTACCTTTTTTATTCTTAATTTTTAATATCTTGCATTTCGTGATGGGCAATGGTCTCATTGTGAAACGGGGGCACTTAAAGATATCAGACTACTTTAATGTTAGAGTTTTATGAAAACGTCGCAAAGATGTTTTTGGTTACTACAACTAAGATAGTTTCACATGCCTTTTTATACGAACCATCTAAGCCATTATAGTTGCATTGTGGTGTAATAAGCATAGAATAAAAAAGTAAGTACAAGGCTTAAATAACGCACTAAAATATAGGGCTCTATGGGATCTACGCATTGACTCTTTATCCATGTGGACTAGGCTGCAGTAACATGCAGTCGCTGCACTTTAAATTTTGAACTGTCTTATCACAAGTGGGTTAGAGTTAAAAAGTCTTAAGTGTGAAGGAAGACGTCTTCTTGTTCTTACGTCTGCACTTACGTGCAAAGAATACAGAAGCTTTGCCAGTACGTATGTCACATCTTTAAATTAAATGAATAAATGACGTTAGGGTTTAATGTTTTCTTACGTTTTAGTTTTCTACTTTCAGTAAAATTTTCTTTTGTAGCTATATGTTTTTATATAAATGTCTAAATGAATGCTTTGAAACGAAACTTAAAGAATGTTCATTTGATTAGCTAAAATATGATATTTACATAAACCTAAGAAGAGTCAAAAAATACTAGCGTCTGTTATACCTTGCCATAAGTAGCTGTAGGTGTTTACTTATTGACGCGCGTGTAACGCGCTTGAAACCACCTGTAGTGAACCATTGTACTCTTTATAATTAGGTTGCAGACCCAAGTCGGTCGAAGCAAGAAGAGCATGCACAGGTGGGGTGTGCCTCGAAGAGAGCATGTATGTGTCATGTCTCTCAGCAGACAATGGCACATTTTTTGGCACACTATGTGTAACAATCGCGAAAACCTAAGAACTCGATAGGCACATTTTTTTGTCGAGCCCTGCGTGTCCCTAAAAGAAAAAACCAAAAAAGGACCGCATATCAACGATGCATCAGCCAGGAATCGAACCCGGGCCGCCCGAGTGGCAGGCAAGCATTCTACCACTAAACCACTCTACACCTGCACACGCGAGGACTTGTACTACGCCTCTGACAATGTCAGTCGTTAAGTAGGGGGTCCTCACAAATATGAACGTCATAGTCGACGAAGAGGAAGATTAATGGCTCCTAGAGATAATGTTTGTTACTTATTTGGTAATTTGTTGAAACGCTTGTAGTTTTTTTAATTTAGTTGTTTTGCCTTTATTTTAATTTATAAAGTTTATTAGGTATTTGTTTAATTTTATTTAAGAAAAGAGTTTCCTAAAAATGTTCAGGAACTTAAGAAACAAGCCCAAATGGAATAGTAATATTTATGGTTTCATGGTTTTTTTTGTAGTTCTTGTTGAGGTTTTCCTTACTTTAATTATCTTTGTAATAGATCATCATAGATGTTAAAGTCATGTGTTATGCTCATTTCAGTGAATTCAGAACTTTAAAACGCTCTCCTGATTTCGACATACGATACTTTACGTAGGAGAGGTCGGTTTATGTTTTCACTTTTACGTAAATCACCTTATCTTCACAAAACAAAAACTTTGAATTCGTAATTATTGGAATTTTAAGGATAAAGTCATTTGTAATTTGGTTTAAAATAAGGAATATAGTTCTAACTTTCTTCATCACTATTTCTTTCTTCGTTTTTACTTCAAAATATACTTAAAATAAAAATAATCTTTGTAAAAGCTGTACTTGTAACTTCAAAAGCCCGCCTTTAATTATTTTTTTTTAAGTTTATTAAGGCTTTGGCAATGCCATCAGCCTAAACATGAAGTTTAATTATGTTTCTGTAAATATGGCCGCCACAAAGAGGATAGGCAATTTGAGGCGGCGTGCTTGGATTGACTCGGGATTTCTTAAAACAGGCCGATACGGGTATTGTAGTTCGAGATTCGTATAATTTCGCGTTTTAATCTTCGATTAAGGCAATAGCACTATCCTATTCCACTTTAAACTAGATTTCACAAAACAATTGAAAGTCAAAATAAAAACGATACTTTTCCCTCCAAAAGGTCCAGAGCGAATCCAAGCTAGTACTTTAGCTGTTGTCTCTAGCGATGTGACGAGTTGTATTTTTTTCAACTCGAGTTGACGTGACTGAGTTATTATTATTGAGTGTGTGCGTTATTGTTCCTGAAACTGATACATAAGACTTTCTACTAGTCTCCTACATTTAGACTCAATTTCTGCACTCTCAGATGATTCTCGATTTAACAAAACAAAATAAAAATTCTTGTCAAGTGGCGTACTAGCTGGTTTACAATGAGTCATTCCAAATTTATTCAATACTTTCTTTAAATATGTAGTTCGATTAATTACAGTCATTCCTTTGTTCAAGTTTTGTTGTATATTTATACTAAGATATTCTATCAGAATATCAAGGCTTAAATACTTCATTTTAAAATTTTTAGTTAATACATGCTTTATATGCTCCATTTCTCTTTCATCTGTGCCAAACAACAAGATGTCATCAACATACAATAACAAATACAATTTACTGCTTGTATCACACTTTGAGTAAAGACACGAATCATTCTCTGACTGAATATATCAATTACTTTAAACAACGCTATCAAATTTTTCATTCCAGTATTTAGGGGATTTCTTAAAACCGTAAATGGATTTATTTAGTTTGCACACAATGTTTGGATCATCAACAGGAAAATATTTCGGTAATTTTATATAAACTTCCGCCTTAATGTCACCGTTAAGAAACGCACTACACATATACATTTGATGTAAAGGTAAAATCTAAGTGTAGGTAAATTAGCCACTGGTGCATAAAGTTAATTCCAATCACAGTCTGTTTCTTGTTCACAACCTCTAGCCACTAATCTACATTTGAACTTTACATTTCCTGTTTCATCTATCTTCTTCTTGAATACTAGTTTACTACTTATTACTTTCTTGCCAGGAGGCAATGTAGTTTTTGTTCAGGTTGTTCTCGATAAGTGCTTTGAATTCTGTTTGTATAGCTTCCTTCTATTTTTCTGATTCTGAACTTTCCATAGCCTCTATAAAGTTTGTTGGGTCTAAATCCACATTCATAATCAAACCAAAGTCATAATCCTTTGCCCAAAATGGCTGCCGCAAAGTTCTCGTCTCTCCGTCTATTTCAACACTTGTCTCTTCTTCATTGCGTTCTTCTACGGATTCAGTTTGTTCATCAACAATAGCGTCCTCAAATCTTTCTTCCACGTCTTCGTTAATTATTGCGTCTTGTATATTTTCCTCATTACCATATTGTATGATTTCTCTTTCTTCATTTTCAATATTGTCTTCTGCTATTTGACTAAAGTATCTATTTTCTGACATAGTGGTCGGTTCTCTTTCATTTCTTAATATATTATTTACTTTATCTTTGTTTCCAGGTGCATTTACTTCAAATTGCATGTCCTGTATATTATTCTTCACCTTCTCTACTTCTTTCTTCTTGTCTTCTTTTTCTGGTTTAGAATCGTCTCGTCCAGTAAATACCACATCTCTTTTAATCACAACATCTCTTTTATTTGTCATGTAAATTCTATAATCTTTTGTGGTCTCTCCATATCCCATGAACAATCCTTTTTCTCCTTTGGGATCCCATTTCCTTCGAGGTTGTTTTGGAACATGCACAAAAACTTCTATACCAAATTCTATCATTTGTGTTGTCCCATCCACAACTCATATGGAGTTTTGCCAGGCACTGAACTCGTTCCTGTCCGATTAATTGAGAAGACAGCTGTATTGACAGCCTCAGCCCAAAATGGTTTTGGTAAAGACTTAGCTAGCAACATGGTACGAGCTGCCTCAGTAATCGTTCTCATTTGTCTTTCAATCTTTCCATTCTGTTCTGGTGTACATAGCTTACAATTGTTTCATGTCTTATTCCATTTTCTTCCAAGAGGTTTCTCAATTTCAAGAATTCTGTTGCTTGATCAGTTCTTAGTACTTTTATATCCTTACCCATTGATTTACAATTATATGGACGTCGGGTCCGCGCTAAAAAGTGTCCGCACTTGTAAGGCGCTAAAATCGTATACAGAGCGCCAAACTCCGCTTTAGTCTTCATTTGTTCGACTGACAGCGCGATACTGCGATGACATTACAATTTAAATTTCGAATAGGTTGACTTGGGACATTTTTTTCGTGGTTTTTGTATTAGACCCGTCGTCCATTTATTTGTAAGTCAATGTCCTTACCCATCTCTTTCTTAGAAAATATTAAGAAATGTTTCATGTTGTAATTGACACTGTTTTTGTAACATCGATTCACTTTATGACCAATTTTTCCACATCTGAAACATTTTATGGTTCCTGACCTTGCTGCCAGTGCTGTGCTATTATTATTAGCCTGTTCTTCTTTTAGTCTTTCTTACTCCATTAGAAACCTCGCTGTTAGGTCATTGATGTTTTGCTTACTTTCTTCTACCGAATCCCATGCACTACGAAAATGTTGAAAACCTTCTGGCAGTGTCATTAAAATTTTTATCATGAGGGCTCTTTCTTCTACTTTCTGTCCTCTCTCTGAGAATTTACTAGCCAAATCTTGCAAATCAGTTGTATGCTCACTAATATTTTCCGATTCATAGTTATACGCAAAAAAATTTTACTGTAGATAATGTAGGCTACATGACGACCTGAGCTCATACACACTCTGTAGTTTACTCCAGAACTCCGACGAAGTATTACAGTTCATATCCAGCTTCATGACCCGGTCGGATAACCTTGATACGATGACTGACTGCGCCTTTGTATCGCACACTTTCCATTTTCTTATTGCTTCTTCCCCTTCCACAGGTATTTTATTTGTTCCTTCCACGACTTCCCACAAACCCAAGCCATTCAAAATCACTCTAACCTGGAACCTATATACGCTCCAGTTTTGACCCTTTCCGGCTTGAGGGCACTGTGCCCATAACCAGTGCGCAATTATAAGGGTTTTGGCTTGGTAATAATGAAATAAATTGTATACTAAGCACGTGTATTCGTTCTCTACACAGACATTACAGGAATAGAGTAGTACGCAGACATATAATAATAATAATAACGCACACACTCAACATAGCCCCGCACTAGGGAAACCCTGTGTCGCGGGTGCCATGGACACATACATAGACAAACACAAATTACACCCAAACTCACGAGAGAAATAAATGTAGGCCATACAAATATTTCTCCCGGCCCGTGAATCGAACCTAGGACCTCTGCGTGGCAGTCCGGCATGGTAACCGTTCGGCCACGGAGGCAGTTAATTAATTTAAAAAAATTATTAAAAAAAAATACATATTGACAGTAGCTGTCAGTCATTTTATGAAAGAATTCTATTGCTGCGTTCAATAGCTTGGTCTAGCGTTTAGCGTCTGTATGCGATTTCGACGTGTGGATCTACTCGCTCGTAGCCGCTGCGTCATTGTGAAAGGGAAGACGCCAAGACCTGCGCGCCCGCTGGCGCCCGCACCCATCGCCGCGCCCGCGTCTCCACTATGAATTAGCCCATCGCTCGCGACTCCGAAGTGTTCCGAAGGTCACCGTACCGAGTTAGCTCGAGTTCTTATAAAAGTAACTCGAGTTGACTCGTGGGAGTAATTGAGCTGAATAGTTCGACTCGCCATCTCTAGTTGTCACTGTCATTTTCTTTGAAATGGATTGATTTTTACTAAACAATTTTATGCCAGAAACCTAATAGTATTTTTGTAAATTTATTGATGTTTATTGTCGAGTTAGTTTTTGAAGATTAGGCAGGAACTATGGAAAACCTGGAGCAGATCAGTGTTCTGTGGTTGTGATGATGTCTGCGCGAAATTATTTGTCAGCGCGAGAGAAGCACACGAAATACGATTGTTTGCCGGATATCAAACAACAGAAGTTCAGCTATAGGTCAGGGACGGAGCTGCCGCCCGTGTCTGCCAACATTAGCAATGTTGTGAACAGAAACATCGGCTATCCCTACGGAATCCAGCCTTACATTTTAAGCGCTCAGCGCGCTGGTACCCCATTCTCTGACTTTTTCTCTGATAGCGAAATCGGTAAGGAATTTGTTATTTTACATCTGTGATGGGCTGGGATGTGAGTGTTGCGTTTTTAAGTACCATATGTAAAACTTGCAGGTACTCCAGATCTGCATAGCGAAGAGAGCGATAGTAGTTCTGGATCAGCTCTTCGGCGTAGCACAGCCGAGGCGACAAAGATCCTTGCTGATGAATGGGAAAGGATTGAGAGGACTTTGTATGATGAGGAAGGCGAGAAATGTTTACGACCACAGATTGTTGAGGATTGCAAACAGTGGAGAGCACTGCACCCACAGCTGAGGTGTGTATTCTGTACATAGTTAATGAGTTACTTATAAATTGAGAGGTCATTGTGATTACAGTGGACACCACACCATAGACTAAATTGTAATGCCAGTTGACAAAATATGTTTGGTGAGTTCTGGTGAACTTTCTATACATTATAGAATATCTTTATTTATAGAATTATTATTTATAGAATATCTTGCTAAAATTTTTCTTTATATCTTTGTTACTGAAGTATAAAGTCTACGGAAGTTATTATGTTTGTTCAATTTATTTTAATCTGACAATTGTGTAGATGGATATTTTATTTATATTATTGTTTTTTACTACATTATAGTTGTTACAATGCAATAGGCACGTTTTGACAATTAAGAGAGAATAGAATGGTATGAAATCAATAAACCAATAATACAATAATTAAAAACGTATTGCATTTTAAAATAGACTCTGATATAATACGACAACACATTTCAAACACATTGAGGTAAAATTAATAGACTGTCCATGTATTGCAAAATAATGTCAGTACAGAGTGCTAAAAGAACTGACCTCAAAAGTACATGGAATTACATCTATTTGCTAAGTTTTATTGCAATCAGTTACTGGAAAGTGTGCGAACCTGGATTCATCCCCTAGTTCGCCGCTGTATCGAACTTGACACAGGATATAATAAAAATCGGTTCTCACTACTCAAAGTATATTGAGAGAGAAAAACGCCTTGAATTGGAGAATAGCAAAATCAACCATTAAAATAATTGCTCCTTATAATACAATTTAGGCGCTATTTATAAAAATGAGTCTTCATGCGTGAACAGCCACCCTTAGAGGTGGATGATTTTCTTCAAAATTAAATGGGACCATTATGGAGGTACCCTCTTTCCAACAAAAAAAGAATCATCAAAATCGTTCACAAATTCCGGTGTTATTGCGTAACATACATACAAGGCTTTCAGTGTGGTACCCACACATTGTTTGTTCATCTTGAAATTTGATTTTATGCTTGTTTGTTTTTGAGGTAATTGTTTGTAATTGTTGGTAATTGATTGTAAAGAAAGTAGAGCTTCACCTGATTCTCCACAACTTTTGTTAGCTGCTTGGTTTTGTATGTGATATAAAGATCAAGTTTGAAACACGTGTGGTTGTTCAGATAGATCTTTGAGAATGGTGGAGTCATATGTTATTTGCTTTGAGTTCATTAATACGCACAATCATTCCAACATTCATTAATTCTCTACAAAGGTGAAAGTAGCCTTCATAACTACTAATTCAAACATTGTTCATTTTTCAGGATCCTTGGTAAGGCTATCCAACTACCTGAAAAAAGACCTGGCCAACGTACAATAGAGTATGATGAAGTTGTTGCTATGCACTATAGTGACTACAGTGAGTTCAGTGAAAGTGAGGAACGTCTATCACAGAGTAGCACAGATGTCACACCAGAAAATTCTCCAAGACCTTCAGTTTGTGACCACACAAATGACCTTAAGGTATTATGGGATAAAACATCACATTTGGATGACCAGCCACGGCTTGTAAGGGAAAAATTGTTAACTTTCTCGACAGGTGATTCACAGCGAGATTTGCAAGATACATTTTGCTCTCTTCTCCACATTACACCAGTGCAAATACGAAGCCCATCACATAGGAAAAGACAAAACCCTTCAATATTGAAGTCTGAAATAGCCTCTTCACGGTGGATGAAAAGTTCCAGGCCAGATTCATCCATTAATTGTGATAGAAATAGTGCTAAGTCTTTTGTTTCGTTAGACACACGAAATTATGGTAATACAGCATTAAGTGCTTCTGAACGCAACAAGTTGTTGAACAGTAGAGTTACAACCGGAAAACATAGGGACATAGCACGACTGGAGCCATTATTCACACCTGATATAATTCAAAATGAAGTGTACAGAATACCAAATGGTACAGCACATCCATATAATATCAGGAAAGTGTCATTACCACCACTACTTCTAGAAGAGGAAAAGAAGAAGGTTTCTAATAATTCTGGAAAAAAGACAAGTAAGGTCCGTAAAAATTCAAAAAATTCATATCAGCTGGACAGAGTTAGACACAATAAATAGATTGTGTGATTAAAATGAATGTTGCACTGAATTAGAAACAAGGTAAGAGGACAACACATTATGTGGCTGTTTGGACAAATGGTTTGATAGTTTGAATATAGAAAAATGTTTGTCAATGATTGTATCATGTATGGTGTTGCAAAATGCACCTTTTTGAGTGTTTAGGGGTGGATAAAGGAGCTTAAAGAAGTTGGTAGGCTAGTAAAACACATCAGTTTTATTTGATGATCTCATTTTATTTCACAAGTGATACAGAGACTCATTTGGTATATTCTATTCCTTGAGTAAAGATTCCTGTTTTGTATAATTAAATATAGACATAACAATAAGACTAATTGTTAACTTGTCATTCTAAATGAGTCTCATTATGTAGCATATAGGTAGCATCTCAGGTGCAGTGTTATTTTATTTTACAAATAGACTTTATTTATATTTTAACGGCCTAGTCTATATATGATAGTTTTCATTAAATGTTAGTATTGATCCATGTTAGCTGAATTTATTACTTCGTGCATTGTGTTGAAGTTTTGAGTACAAATAATAGTGAAAACGATTTCACTATTATAAATATATTTTCTGTAAAAAAACTATTTTCTTATTTCAAAGTTAGTTTCATTCAGGCATTCCAAAACACGGAAGGAAAAACAATGGAAGGGCTTTAAGCCTCATTACTATCAGAAGCGTTTGACGCCAAAACTCACACTATAGTCGTAGTTTGTAATTTGAAAAGATGTAACAAATTCTAGACTGTTAATATAATTTAAACTTTACCCAGTTGGCATATCATTGAAAGTTCAATACCTCTTATTGCAAGATACGACGTTTTGATTTTATATTGAAATTTCATTAAATGCGCTGCCATCTAGCGACTATAGCGGAAAGACAGCGAACGGTTAAGAGCATTTGCGCACTACGTCTGATCCGAATCCGAGAAATGGCGATGACGGTCCGAAATGTCACAGGTGACTGAAGTGACATTTTATCTCACTATTAAGGCTAAATCCAACTCTATGCTGCAAACGATAAGAACGGTCCAAAGTACAAAGTGTCAAGGTCGATGTGGTCTTGACTACAAGTGATATTCGTATATTCGTTTAAGGTTTACTTTCGTTTCTTGTAACAAAAATTGTTTAAGAAAAACAGAAAATTGAACAAAATTAAATTAATTAAAATAAGACTCAACGATGATATGGGACACCACCATGGATAATATTACAGGTGCGACAGTGGTGCGACTATAATTTTTCATTTCAAATTTTTTTCCACGATTTCAAGTATGCACACGTGTTACGCCCACTAAGCACTTCTATTATATTTATTGGTCTGTGTTCAAAAATTAGGTCTCAATTTACATTGCCGCGGGGCGGAATGGAACGGAAGTGCCGCCGTGCGAGTAAAGGCTTGCGCATGCGTGGTAAACTCGAGCGTTCGCGAGAATTCTCGCGGCTGCGCCTAGAGGCTGTAGTAGGTGTTCAGTCCCAATCTTTTATGTGACGAGGATGATGGACTTGCATATTGTTTTTATTTCGCTTATTTGTGAAGACTAAAGGGAATAAAAAACACGTAGGAAAAACAGATATTTGGGCTTATGATTTATGGAACAAACAAAAACTTTTTGGACATACGAATATTTATTCTCTTTCCACCTATTTTTTATGATTATGATAACCTATTTCGTAGACGCTTGACGTCGCACTGCGCCTGTATTTGCACCACTTGCTGCGGAGTCGTCAGGTATCGCCGACGGCATCTGCGGGCATTCCCGAGCATGCACGAGGATTCTCCGGAAGATGCGCGATCTGTTTCTGGCCCGTATGTAGTTTGTACGTTATACAATTGACATTCATTGCAGTGTTCACTTTCGTTACATAAAATTGCTTCCATTCCCTTCCGCGGCACTGTAAATTGTGAAATTAAGCTTAGTGTGTTGGTGTTATATACAAAAGGTGGAGTAATTAGTAAAACAACTTTTCAAATACAAATACAGAATTTTATTTTGATATTTACATTATTTGCATTTTATTAACAATCAACATCAACAATATTAAATAATTTTTTGTTCTCGTGGTGTGATATATTTCGAACAGTCGGGCAATATTACATTCTCCAAGTTGCGCAGTTTTTAATAGAAATGAACAAATTTTTCGTTCTCAACATTTCCTTTTTTTAGAAACAAATTCTCTTTTTATAAGGAACCATTTCGGTATTTTGCGGTGCATTTATTCATTTCTATTTAGATGTTTGCGTATTCAGGGATAATGTAACATCACATGCATTTAACGGTGGCTTAATCGTTTAAATGGTTATCTAGAAGCGGTGAATTATGGGATTATATTATAATGTTGAAAAATTTGAGCAACTGCAGAGAAAGCTGTGAGCTTGGAATTGGGCTGCCATTAAAAAAATTTTAATGCGGAAATTATTAGTACAGCTTCTCGGTTATTATTGAAAATAGGTACCTAGCATGTTATTAAGCTAATTATCATTTTGAGGATGTTGTCGTATTCTTCAATGATATTGTATGGCAACCCACGGCATTTTCATGAAATTTTAGCCATTTCTGACTAATTTTTTTTTTAAAAGCTTTATTTTAGCACTAACTTCCAAGAAATCGTATTTACTATTAAATGACGAATTACACCTCTTTTGATATACTTTAAATTTTGATTTTTTTTGCCTTGGTAGTTAAGAACAATTGCCAGTGCCACCATAAAGCTTGTAAACTACAGCGTCAGACCGATGCGACAGAGCGATCCACTTTGTGTTTGTTTAATATTTTTATTACACAATATAAATTTAAATTGTTACAATTATTTACCTCACAGCCATCATTATATATTGATACTACTTTAATAAAAAGAGGACTACGTGTATAACAACACGATAAGATGGCATTCTGCTTACAAAAAGGATCTAGCGAACATTTGTATTATAGAGCATTAAGATATACGTATAATACATGAAAAATTCACCATTCCATTCTAAAAACATTAACAACCTCAAGCTATTAGCAATAATCAACAATGTTGTTAAATTCTAGAATTTAATGCACACAGAACAAGGAATTACTAGATTCGCGAATAGGCGTTTAGTGTTTGTATAATTTCGACCTAGACGTGTACATGATAAAACGTAGTTGTGAGAGATATAGTTTGTAGATAATTTCAACTAAGATAACATTGAAATAATTCAACGACGTTAGGTATAAGTATCACTTAGATTTAAAAAAGGAACTAAACATTATTTACAAATACAAGTTTGTGCGTTTGCACAAGCATTTGTTTGGGCAATTTTGGATGGATGTTTGTGTGTTCTTTTTTAAATTGTCTAATGAGCTTTAAAAATTTTGTTTTTAAATTTCATAATCGAAGTTAGAGAATGTCAATATCATGAATCCACCAATCAGCAGACAGACATGCCACCCGATTAGTTAGTTTCTTGACATTGTCTTTTGTAGTTTTATTTCTTTGCTGAAAAACACTTAATTAGTTTAAAGTAACAGCTACATAGGCTTGAATTACAATTTCGTTAAGCTTTTTTTATTAATTAACGTACCAAGGAATGACATTCATCAAAAGTGCCCAGATGGAAATAAAAATTGTATATTAAAGTATAATGTTCAAATTTTTCGTGTGATTGCGTGGTCGGCAGCGCAAGCGCTTCGTTTCATTTCTACCGATAAGAGAAATACTATCACCTAGCAACAAGTCGTGTGACATGCATACAAGACATACATCCATTGCGTAAACAATAATTAAACATTAGACTAAGCAAACACACGCAGAAGGACTCGGCTATATTCTCTCTCGTTAAGGCGATTATACAAATTTTAAAACTATTAAATTGCACACTGACCCACCTCTATAAACTTTTAATTGCGATAAATATTTGTAATGCTGTATAAAAATATTAAAGGAAAAATCGTCATTTAATATTAATCTTAATTAACATTCATATTAATCCAAAATAATAGCGTGTATTTTACATTTTTACAATGAGACGTCCGAACTCTATACCTAACTAGCATACAGTGACGTAGAAGCCTAATCCACAACAAACTACACACGATAGTATTGAATATAAACTTTAATGCCGTAGCCTTCTATTTTAATGCAAAGGAGATGTACTTTGAAAAATTCTTACGTAACATACAAAATTACATTTGACTATTTACAACATTCTAGCTAAAATAAAAAAAAAATTGATTTCTGAATGCGGTACTCTAAATATTAGGTACCTATTGGCGTCTAGGGCTTCAGTGGCATGCATGGTTCACTACGTACCAAGAATCAAGCTCCAAATTACAACTTAACGATTACGTCACAGGTCTGAGGTGGTCATCTCTATACTTGCCCTAGCCTGCTAGCACGCGTTTGCCGCGGCTGCAGCGTCCTTGCAGCTTGCGCCAGTCTCTAGCTGGCACTCGCTACAGGAGGCGCCCGAGCATGGCCAAATAAGCCAAGATAATACTTTAAAATTTAAATTTTTGGACAGACCGATTAGTTCGATTTAAATTTAAATAATCTATCGTGCACAACCATCTCAAAACTATATAAATTTTAAGATTCCGTGTTTTTTTCGTTAATTGTTTTAAAGTAGGTATTATCAGGGTGTTTTGATTCCTGTGCAGGTAGGGTATTTGTGCAGGCATTGTTTTTATTTTACGCGTACCGTACACCAGCTCAATACACGGCTCGAGGTCGATCTTACTGTCCAATAAGAAATTCTCTCCAGATATTTTTGTACTTTTGATGTTTTCTTTTTGATTATGTTATTGGGTTTTATAAAAAATATGGCAGTATGTTACTTTCAATTCCTTGACACAAGGGTCTGTTTCATTTGATTTTAGACCAGTGATAAGGACTCATCGTTTCTTGACCACACATGTATGTGACACGCACAACTCAACACACATTGAGTCATTAAGGCCGGTTTTGGCTATTCTACAACGAACGATGAAATGATATATATAGATAGGTACGATATGAGGCGGCTATGTACAAAATGTTTGATAAATGTAGTTAGATACTATTAATTGAGGTATTTTATTTGGTGTTAAACAAAAATGCAAGTGTTTAGCTTGCGATTAGTTGCTGAATCCTTTCATCAGTTTCTATCAAACATGTTGTACTAATCAATTAATTGCGTTGTTTTCTCTCACTACTCCTGAATGAAACTCTATTTCGTGATGCCAACAACTAATATCTAGTAAATTCTAAAAAGCAACTCTGACCGACTGTACCGCCGCTTCAAGTTTGTCGTTAGTCGTTTTATAATTTAGTTGTGTGCAGTTGGTCAAAGTTGAGCATTGTCTAAATCAATCAACATAGTAACTATACTATGAAGAGTCCACAATCGTCAAAGCACCCGGAGTTAACTCTAAATACATCGCAGGCTTCAAAAGCCCTAATTTAATAATAACAACGACCTTTCGAAAATAATATCACACATTTACAGCAACATTACACTTTGCACTCAGCGTCTCTCACCACCGCCTCCCCCTCGATGTCCATTCATATCATACATGCAATGGCATTTTATTTTCGCGTAATTCGTTTTAATTATTTAGGTGTTATATTTATGTGCAGCGCCAAAGTCACGTCACTTAGACAATCCCGCGCCCAACATTAGGAAAACAAACAAAAGAAAAACAAAAACAAATAAAACTATAATATTTTTTATTAAAAAAATAAACAAAATGTGGTACTAAAATCGTGAAGTTGGTCGACACAAATCGAATATTGATATTTTTTGTGCAGATTCCTTACGGTTTTGGCAATCGACTTCTTAATCTACACAGAAAATATCCTACACCAATCGATGTGTGTCGATACTAGACTGAAGACACTGTTCAGGCCAACCTTCCACAATTTATACATTACTTAGAATATTACTAGTAAATAATAAAAAAAAAACCAAAAAGTATGAGCAATGGAACTGTACGCATTCTACGACACGTGCATATAGAAAAATACAGAAAAAGATTAAAGAAGAAAACTTATCAACTAAATATTGGAATTCCCCGTCAAATCAATAAAAAATAAAAAAAAACTTAAGCATAATGTAACATGAGTATATTCCCCAAAATACCCGAAGATGTGTGATGCATAATGCTTATACTAAAATGTCAATCAGTCGATGAATATTTTAAATGCTTAAAATGTTAAGAAATTTCAGATAAGAATTAGATACAAATGTAATAGAATAAATTGAAAGAGAAAAAGCTAAAAGTTAAGAAATTGGTGTTCTAAATGAAGATAAGTATTCGCTACGGGATTGCAGTACTATATAATGTCCTTTTGTTTTATTTACTTCGTGCAATTAAAAGTTTAAAAGGTCCATATTTATTGAGCAGTTTACCTCCTTTGAAATAATTTACATGAAATATCTACTTTACTTACATATTTCAATAATTATGAGACTAGATCGTAACGTAAATTCATTCTTGGTGTGAAAAAAAGAAATCAAATTGTGATGTGCCTAAAATAAAAGGTGTAAGTACCTACATACAGAGACTTTGCTGCTCGGAAGATCAGTAATTGAGGAAAATGTTTTACGGTATAGCTTTCCAAATAGGGTTTTAATCAACTAATATGTAGCGATCCTTTCCATAGATGGTCTTGGTGTGGAATATATAATAAGATCCATGTTTCTTTTGGATTGATTACAGTGCCGAAGTAAGCAGCAATTTATGGATTCACTTCGTTTTATCTTGTTATTTCACATTCAGCACAAACACACATCAACAGCAACCAAGAACGTTATTATCGAATTTATCTTCTATAAATCTTCTAACAGTCAAGAGTGCAAAAGTTCAAGTGTGAGTTGCAGTGCAGTGCTGTGTCTTCGTGTAAAAAACTGGAGATTGTCAGAACAAAATGAACGCAATTCGGGGTGAAATAAAGGAAATAATCGCCAATTACAGGCCAAGCGGATGAAATTAAACGCCCAGTCAAGGGAGAATAGGTATAAAATAAGGAACGGAGCCAACGTTTGTGGGCTTGAGGTTTTGTAAGTTGGGTATGCGAGCAGGATTGTCGCAGTGATGGTGAGGGACAGAGCTCCTATATGTAGGAGTAGGGCCCGTCCGTAAGGGCGCTGCACAGCAATAGTCAGGAGGCGTCGTCTTTGCCGCTGCTACCGGTCGCTGAGCCCGCACGCCGGTTGGATCGGTACTCCACGCCGGGGTCGAATTGCATTAGAACGAACACCTGTCCAAAAAATTTTGATGAGCGTAAGTTTTACTTTGATCTGAAACTTGTAACAGTTCAATAAAAGAAAGACAAAACTTCGTCATACCTGATCCGTGGGTAACAAACAGAAGTCATCTGGCGGATTCGTGATGACATATCGTTTACTGCTCGCGTCGCACGAAGACGAAGTGTCTCGGAATCTGTAGAGGCCGATACACAACATGCCATATGCCCGCAGTGCCGCCACAAATAAATCTCCATACTTGCCAGCTTCACCGAATTGAGCCAGTGGACCGTCGTAAAGTGATATCTGACCCACTCTACACCGATCCCTGATAAAAAAGAATGTTTTTTTACATTTTTTATAAAAAATGAAAAATGTTTGGAACGTATGATAGTATTATTTTATAAATGTATTTTTCGTTATGATACCAAGTGACGATGAACAAGCCGTGCACCTGCTGGTAAGCGACACACCTGTCCATAACAGATACAGCTACGCAGAGCTTTAAACCACAAAGATCTGAGGGGCACTGCCACTTCGCCCGTCACCCTGAGACATAAGTTGACAAGTCCCATGTGCCTGTAATTTCACCAGCTCCCTTACCCTTCAACCGGAACGCAGTAATGCTCACATTACGGCTTGGTGGCAGAAATAGGTAAGGTGGCAGAACTTCCCTGGACGAACTCTTTCACAAGGAGCTCTACTCCTACTAAAATGATGTAATATAAAATAAGAAGTTTCTTACCTATTCGATAAACTCTCAACTGTGGAGTATCCACCTCGGAGTCCAGCTCCTTCAGCAAGGATTAACTCCAGCTCTGGAGTGGCGCCGCCCGTAATCAGCGACCGGATTAACGTTAAGGCATTTTGGTTGAAATAAGTCTGCAACAAAGTTGAATCAGTTGAATATGATGATTTAAAATAAGCTGAATTCAGATTTTTTCAACTTCAGGTAAATAATAAAAAGCTTTTTGGTTTAAGTAAGTACATAGAGCTGTAAATTAAGTAGCTCGGCAGTATTACGAGTTCTCATACATTATACTTACAGTGGACATAAGAGAGTCGAGCACACTAACTGCGAACGCTGTGCCACACGCAAACGGTTGCGTGAGGTACAGTTCGGTGTCCGGATCGTCGTCGTCGTCCTGGTCAAGGAACTGCACATTGCTATCGTTCACCAGTTCTGTTGGAAAGAAAATGCAGTTAATTAATGTAAATTAGAATAAGATTATCAAAACCACCAAATAATTGTTCAAAGAAAATATGACTGTATTTGTTAACAATATCTACTGTAGAAACTCACCTGTGATCATAGGCACATTGGCACCATACACAGACCCTCTTCTCTGGAGTAGAACGGGCGCAGGTGGTGCCCCTGGTGGCGGCTGCGTATTCCCTGTACTCCCATTGGTCGTGCCCGCACTGAGCACTCCTATCGTGTCGTCAAACGTCATTGCTTTGATGTTCAACGAAGCCAGAATAGCTTCCTTGTCGGCCAGCGTAGGGTCATCGTTCGATGGCACCTTCGCTGAGAGAATGCAGCACATGTCGCAGAGGTTCACGTTAACTGCACGCAAGTCGGCCCGGCTTAGCGGTGAACCCTTTAATCAATAATAAAAAAGCTTTAAAACATCAGCCTAAACCCCATTTGTTCAGAAATAATCATCTCGAAGATGAATTGAATTGACTCTTTACGTCTGTATAGAAGAATAAATAATAACTCACATTCAGTACAGATATTTTAGGTAGATTTTGAAGCATCTTCCACTCCCGTCTGATATACTCTACACTGCCGACGATGACGACATGTTTCAGCTCGTGATAGTGGAAGTTGGACGCACGAAGTGGCATCACCAGGTTCCTTAACCCGATCAGGGGCGAATCGGGATCCGCGAACAAACATACTACTACGTGGCCATTTAACACCGTCATAGCCGCCTGATTTCTGTCCTATTGGAGAGAGTGGTATGTATTTTAGTATCCATGATAATGGAAATATATTTGTGAGATTTAATTACTATAATAGTAATTTATTTAAGCCTTATACCAAACAAGTGCTATTACTAAAAGTTTGCAATACACAAAGGCCTTAAGCGTAGCGTCATCTAGGTCTTATTGCCACAGACAGAAAGTGTGGCTTTGTTAGTGAAGGTTATGTTTCTTGTTGTGTAAGGGTGTATTTCCACCGGCGAGGCGAGACGAGGCGAGACGATTTTTAAAACTTGTATGGCAAAATATCAATTCTCTCCTAGCGCATCTTGGGTGGAAATGGTCGGGATTGACGAGGATGGACGAGACGAGATTTGAAATATTTGTTGATGTAACATTGAACCGTACTGCTGCCTACATAGACTCTTTATTAACTCTGCAACGGAAATACGATTCACGATGTCTCGTACGATATCGCGCGTGCTCGGGTTGTCAATTGCGATATTGTGGGATACAGTCGCGTGCATTGAAATGTAAACGTTCACACATTTTCGAAATTATGTAAATATTAGATATTTCAAAAAATGTACCTTGTGTTATTTTCAAAAATATGTGTACATATATCCATATAAAAAGCACAGCAGTGGAAAAGCACTTTAAGTCAGTGCTATGGTTTTGTATTTACAAGTAACATTATTAGTTATTATCGTTTTGTTAAAGTTGATATATGACAAGTCATAAAACAATTCTCAGTTATCTACATGTTGGGACCTATTCCATATTCCCTAAAGTATTCGGCTACTTACTAATATACAGTCCTCCAGATTCCTCGCTGGGCTCCAATGGAACATGCCAGTGGAGTCGTATTTCATTTCAGTCTTTTCAAAGTCGAAGTCCTTCGACTGGTCGTCTGCCAGGCCCGCTGGCAAACTGACGCCATTGCTGTTTTGGTTACCCCCACTACTTCTGCTTGTGGGCCTGTGTAGGAAGGAGGCATTTACCATTTGAGTAAAATTATTTTTAAATATTAAAAGTTTGGTTTATATTAGTTGTCACTTGGGTTTACTTTTATAGTTATTGAATAATTCTAAGATTAAAATGCGATATGAGTATTGTACAAATAAATCAATGTGGAATGTCTAGTTCAAAATCCGGTCTGAAAAACTAAATTTTTTTTAAGTAGGAATAATTTTTTAAACTATGTTGTCTCGTCACAGTTGGACCTATCTGTAATAATGAACTATCGGTTTATTAGTCATTGTCAAACAAATATGTGTTGAACGTTAATTATATATTGTTCATTAATAAGGACACACCAACTATAACGAGTAGTGTAATAAATTGAATTTCGCGTTGAAAAAGGTTTAATGCAAAAACTATTCTACCAAAAGCGCTAAATACTATCTGAATGTGATATAAAACAGGTACAAGAGACAAAACATGTGGAGCAAGCATACCCACCAATACTCAAAATATAAGTGCCGTGCCGGTCGAAAGTGCAGACTTAACACACATGACAATGTAAAGAAAGTTCAAATATCCCTTCGGGTATCACAAAATTCACAATATCTAATTGGAACTCACTTAGATACGAATTGTGAAGCAAGCACTACTTCTACAAAAGTCAAAGGATGACTATCGAATCATCACAAGTCAAAACTACTAAAATATCTAATTGAGAAATTTGAATTACATGAGTTTTTTCACTTCGTAGGCAAGATGGTAGGCCTGGTAATTCGTATCTTGATCCTGAGGATTCCTGTAACACAGGGCCAACGTCTGGGTTGCTTTCAAAGTTTTAAAGAAACCAATGTGCACACTTAATTTTATTCTTCTAGACATTTGTGCGAAGTGCACATGTGCCAAACAAAAACTGACAGCCGAAACATTTAAGGCTTCGAAGCCACAACAGATAAAATAAGGAACACAGAAGGAACTAAAATGCGTTTTAAAGGTTTACTTGTCCATTTATTCAGACGTGTATTACGGTTTGTTTATTATAAATTGAGTTTACCTATTCTTTCTATTCAAATGTTCTGTTACAAATCTATACGTTGTATCTCTACTTATGACAAATGTAATTAGAAGAAAGTGGTTCTGTAACTCGCTCAGCCCATTCGTATAAAATTTATATAGTAAACAACGATTCAAAGGGGCCTTTTTGAATGTTTTGTGTATGTTTTGTTTTTAACTTTTACAAAAAATGGATTAAAATTACTTACGTGTCCGGTGGTGCTCTGTTCACATTTGGTTTGACTTTATTGACTTGTCTCGTGGTAGTTGTGTTCATGAGCTGATTGGCCATTGGGGACAGTAACGACGCTGGTGCCGCATTTCGATGGTTCCGGTTTATTACTGGTGGACGAACTTGATATTAGGTTAGGGTTATGTAAGTTTAATGTTTTACATCTATTGAATTTTAAGGGCATGTAGTACCTACATAGTTAAAATTATTTACGAATCAACCTATTAATATTAAGTCGATTAAATTTAATTAGTATCAGGTAATAGTTTAATATCTGTGATAAAATTTTTAATTATTTACTTCGAATCGTTCTCAAGGCACAATAGCAATAAACCACAATAAAGTGTTTTACCGTCCACGAAAGACGATTTCTAAATCAAATGATTCCTTAAATACTCACAGCTGATATCCTCTCCTCTTTCTCTAGCAATCTCACCTGCAAAACAATCGTAATTTGCATTGAGATATTGTCGTTGGAGTTATAATATCCAATCCAGCAATTCGAGTTGTAAGACTATTCTCATCTGGTTTCGTTTTGTTTTTCATGTAAATCATTCAATTAATTACCAATAAATCACAGGTATTATATTTGTATACTCTCTAAAAGCATATTATTAATGTTACATAATTTTAATAACATAACTACAACAGAAGCGTAATCAACGATGCATTCAAGAGCAAAGAGATGTAACGAAACGGATAAATGCAATGCCATGAGGAGTTACTTTCAATGCATGGCGCAGGGCACAAACCAGAATGATGTCCGCTTTAGAGTTTACCAAGAAGCACAGGTCTATGAAACTTAACTTTTGGTTTGGGTTGGTTGCTTATTTTAAGTAAAACGTGATGCAAAAATAAATAAATGATACTATTTGGTATCGAAAATAAAACCATAACTTTTAATAACCGAGCTTTTAATAGTTCATATTATCATTTCGATTTTTAATTTGAAACCGCAAATGGATCTTCGCTTGCTGAAGCGATAGTATCTAAGTGTTTATTCTACAATTTTAGCCAGGGGTCAATTCATGCCTTGTTTAAGCAAAATTCATAAAATTTTCAAAATGGCAACCTCGCCATTCAAGGCTTCAGTGCTCGCTATGAAAATGCGTGACAAAGCAACTAAGTGCAGGCTACTTTCTGGTAGCCTATGAACGAAGCACATTGCTGGTCAATGGTAAAGTGTGGGCCGATGATTAAAAAAAAAGAAAAATCAAAGGAGAAAACACTCAGTCCTTGAGCCTGAGATGTACCTCGAACATGGACCTTCTTGGGCAACTCTGGCGGCGTGAAGGTGGGGGGAGGATGGTGGTCATCTGCAAAACATCAGCACAAGTTCGCATTCCGATACACCCACTTAATAAATACAGTTTCCTACTGGCACAGCGCATTGTTAGCAGCGTGTGGATTCGCCCTTACAAATGTCTCATCTTACATGACTCATTCGGTGTCACCTTATTGACTAAGCTTTTTAGGCATAGTTCTTTTGAATCTGATGTCAAAGGTGAAACCGAACGCATATTTAAACATCGATATGAATTGAAAATTATTTTTAATACTTATTACCAAACCAAACACATACTCATGCAACATACAACTAATAAAGCTACTGATAAACACACACAAAAAGAAACGAGTAACTAAGTAATAGAGAAGCTTTGTGTTCTATCTAACTACTAAAATGTTTAATTCTGATTTAAACGAATTTATAACTTTTTTACAATGAATTTAAAGCTAATGCGAAGGGAGATGACAAAGTGATTATAGGGCGTGAGATATCAGGAGATGGCACCGAGCGTACTAACGTTATGGTTTGTAGGCGAAAATAATCAAATAGTTGCTATGATGTAGTTAGAATGTAGCAATCGTAAGATACCAGTTAGTGCGTCGGACACGGACGCTGTATAGTAGCCAATCACTGCTAAATCCTGACGGTTCTATCGAGGCGGGCCATCTAATTAATTTAACGGTCCCTAAGCAGGGTTTTACATATTAAAAAATCGTTTTCAATCTCGAAGCATAATAAAAGTACACGTAACTCCAATGAACACTATTACAACATCAATATCAGAGGGTCTATTTCGATGCAGAAATCAGGGATCAAAAATGTTCCTATGAAATTGAAATTCATTATAATAACAACAACACCAAAATAAATAAATGACATCACAAAATGTCTCTCGATGTTGATAAATCGGCTAAAGAGAGGCAAACATCTAACTGCAGAGTAAATACACATATATTAACTTATATAAGACAAGACAATGATACAGGACACGATATTGCTATAATCCCGCGTTGGGTGATCCACCCACCGGTCATGTCACTTATAAACACACTGACATAGTACACTGAATGTTACACATTTAGGTTACGTACTTGCCCTGCCAACCATCTGGACGGCTCGTACGCCCTTCCTGAATGTAGCCACTGAACCGAAAAATAAGAGGTTTAAAGCTCACTTGCTATTAACATTATAAATTTAGTTAAATTGTTTAGGTTTGGGCTTATAGAATAATTAACGCAAATTATATTTATGCAGACAGAGATGCAAAGCTGAAAAGTCACGGTTTCTCCCGTTGTGTTTTAAGACAAGGAAGACTTGGTGAACAGTGATCCTTATGTTGCGATTCATAGTACAGTGCCTAAACTATCTGCCACTAAACTGTTGCAATAAGTAAACGGTAATTTTTAATGGCAAAGAGTTTGGGCTGGAAAAGAAATAATTTCATCACGTACGGTATTAAGCCTAAAATTTTGAATTTGGATTGTTATTAGATGTGAGCCGTGTTCATATAATTTAGGTTTGTAGCCTTTCTTTGTCAAGAGTAAGCGTTTTGTAGTTAGGTATTCTTGCTCTGTGACTTAGCCTTGCTGCACTATACTAGCTGCGTGTTCGTTTAATCGTGATATTAGCGTATATTCTAGCTCAGATCATGTCGTTCATTATGAGCAATGGTTAGTTGATGCAAACAAACTAATTAAACGTGTTGTGAGGTACGGTAATATGGAATAGTTTTCATTTCCTTTCCGTACCGTCGAGAAAACCTCGATATGTATTAAGATTTTGTTTCACCATCCCGGTCTGCATCATCATCATTCCGACATCTGTAAAAATCCAAACACTGACACATACGAAGGTACGCTCCTATGTACATCGTTGGGGCAAGGAGTTATTGTTATTGGACATTGATAGTATCAAACTCTCAATATTGGGTTGTTGTATAGGTATATGTTCCGTGATTTATAGAATTTGATGCTATCAAGTTTCGTTGATGATGTAATGGATAGTGACTGTTGTTTAGTTTCCCTTGACCTTGTGTTAGTCACTGTCATTAGCACAGACAAGCCGCAACTGCTCTATAAAGTTTTTACGTGTTCTCCAAAGCTCACTCTCGATGGTAGATACAATCATTACTTTTAGCACTTTATGATTTTCTTCACTCTGATGTTTTCTGAGACATGCTTTCGTGGATTACATTATATCTAAGTAGGTGTTTTCGGATAATGAGACGGTGCAATTTTGCTTGGCGATATTAACTTCTACTTGAGTCATGCAATATACTTTTTGTGCTGGGCTTTAAAGTGCATCATATCAAATGTTTCTAACTTTTTGTGATTTGCACCGGTGGTAAATTTTGATAGATTGTGATTAAAATTTTGTGCTTATATTGTTCCTGATTCTGATTTCGTGATTCGTGTCAGTATAGCATTGTATGATGCACTAAATCCATTAAACAAATCAGAACAGAGCGAGATGCTCAAGGCATAGAAAAGTGGTGAAGTGTCAAGAGTGCTTCATCGTATCGTGGCAGTATCCATTAACGAGCGAGCGGACATACACAATGATCGCTAAATTATAGGGTGTGAACGAGCACGGGTCAAGAGAATGCCTTGCAGCCGATCCAGTCTGTGAGGTACGGACGCAACACCACTAAAGCAACTCAAATTATAGACACGAAAAATAATCGGAAAACGTCAATTTGTGAGGTTAGGTGTGGTGCAAGTTACCTAGGTCGGCTCCAACCTTCCGCTGCGCGGTCACTAAAAGTTTAGCCGAACAATATTCCATTAATTTCTCACAGTATACAGTAAACAGTGTGAGTGGAGAGAAAGTCTGCTGTGTCAACGTGTTTATACACTGATAGTGTTATATTTGTGACAGAAATTATTAATAAAAAGTTAAGAGAATTGTGTTATTTGGTGACCACTTATACATAATACACAGGACACAGCTCGTGAATAAGAACATTGAATATTTCCAGAAAGAATGTCACAGAATCGTCTGTTAGCTGTTGATCAGGCTAGACGTGTTAAAACGCTAATATTTCAAATAAAACTTGTTTTAAGGGATTTGAGTATATGGGACTTAAAAAGCAATACAATGATCTTACAGTTTTTGCATTTGCATTTCTTGATAAGAGTTTCGTCCTTGATGTCCTCGTGGCAGGCCTTACAGTAGTACCAAGCTCTGGAAACAAAATAACAAAGTATTATGATTACGGACGCAAGGTAATCAAATGAATTTAAAATATAATCGTCTGCATTGCTTCCGAAAATTTTAAAAATACCTAAGTTTTGGTTTCATTTGACCCTTAAATGTCTCGACAGTAGGTACGGTGCTGTACGTGCACCTTTTGAGAACCGGATGAAGTCTGCGTCAACGAACTGACCTGGGGTCAGGACCTGACTAACAAGATCCCTGTGCAAGCAAGCCTGCACAGGTAATAGTGCTCTTCCATAAGGTTAATAGGCAGGGGGACTACCGGCGCTGATCGTTAAATTGAAATGAAAAAGTTTTTATTGGTAATGAGAAACACAATAAAATAGTCTCTTTACCTTTTTACTTCATCTGCTGACTGTGCAATGAAAAAACCTTGGGTGTTGGCATGTATCTTGGCGCTGCGGGGATTGATGGATATCTTGCTATCTGCACCCTCTTCACCTTTGATTTCAATCGCGAGCAGGAGTAGTTTTAATTTTGTGAAGCACAATCTAAGAACAAATAAATAAGCTGTACCATTTCTCTTTGCCTTTTATTTAACAGCATTGACTAATTGGGTCTAAATTATGTTATTTCATATTGGACAGTTTAAAATTTGTTCAAATGGAACTAACTAAGCGAATTTTGACGTACCTTTTTAGCTCAGTTTAAAGAGTGTTTGCTACATGCATTAAAATAATAGTATAATTGGCACGTATTATTATCATTACATTTCTAAACTACTAGTAGAATAGTTATTTGTAGAATTGTGAGTGAAGTGTAAAGTGTAGTAGGAAGAAAGACAACATCGACAGACAGGAAACTGAAGCGTGTAAAACAGCAGAAGTGCAAGAGCATAAGTGGGGAAGTGGAAATACAGGGTACTGTGATAATACTATAAAAATATTCGTCGAAGAAAGTTTTTTAATGATTTTTCTTACTGCACTGATATTGATGACAATATAAAGTAAAAAAAAACGAATAAAGAGAAAAATAAAGAAACGAAAAGTAAAGGTTTTATAGAATTAAGAATTGAAATATTTTGTTACCATTACAAATGAAACATTGTTCATAATCGTGTACAATAAAAACAACAAGACAATAAAATGCGTATCAAACTACTCTACATAAACTAGGAATTAACCAATACATACCGCTAGATTTTTTAAATCATTTACCCATTCAACATGCACAATCTAGTCTGAAAATCAGTAAGATTGTTTAGTACAAAACAACCTACACCAAAGATCTAACGAATCTTAAATTGGGATCAGTGCACACTCAATCAGCTAGGGGTTAGCGAGCACACAGTCTACGGTGCGGGTGCAGGCGGGGCAGGGTGGCCCAAGATCTTACTCGCTCGCTTGAGGGAAGGTCATTCCCGTGAAGGAGGTCGACAATGTTTCGGTGTACATCTCGCAGCCAGTACCCTGCAGGTAATCGTTCTGCCAAGCTTGTGTGTCGGGGGACTGCAATCAATGAATGAGTGACGATCTAACTCGTGCTGTGTTAGTCACAGGTTTGCAGCCATCAAATGGATGTCATCATCGTTAACACCCACTATCCGTTTGCTGGAAACTCTCTTGTGCCTTATTGTAAGAGTATCCTATATTAATATACCTGTATTAGTACATCGTCTTCCTTGATTTCTGTTATTTCATTCTACATGGTTGTGGAAACATTACGGATTTAGTAATTCAGTGCAGTACCTTATTATAAGACACCAAGAGATTTGAAAACACTGAGAATCAAACCACTTGAAGCTAGCAAAGGAATAGAATATCGGGAAACATGAAACGAGGGAAAAGCTATGCGATTATTCATAATCGGTTGTTAGAGACGACTTTCCTGCCGGATGGAATCGGACGCTTGTACAGTATAGGAAAGTAGAGTGTGACGTTGGCTCATGTCACAGGCTGCAAGCTCGATCGCCCACTTACTCTGCGGCCAAACTGAACGGGATCCCGACAAACGTTGGGCTTAGAGTTTCCGTGTACATCTCCATGCCGGTACCGCGCATGTAGTCATTAGTCCATATTGCCATGTCTTGGGACTGTGGAAATGTCGCATAAACAGTTAGATCAAGTACACTTGAAGACGTGAGATGTAATTTTGATTCGTATACCAATATGTTGCAACAAATAATGCGTCTTCAAATGTACTTCGTGGCCTAGTTAATCTATAATATCAAAGATATAGGAGAAAGGTATACGAAGGAAGCTGACCGTCTTGAAACTCCTCATGGCAAAGAGGTTAGCCATCATGGTGGAAAAGCCCGGAGCGAGGCAGCTCTGTGCGATGAAACCCAGCTTCAGCTCAGCCAGACAGATCACGTCGTCTCCTTGCTTCCAATCCCACGAAGGTATGTTCAGAAGATAGGCCTGAAATTAAATAAATGGAAATTATATAGTATTACGTAGTAATTGGAGGTTCGTAGTCCTTACCTATATTGTGAGTGTAAGTATGCATATTGTGCTATTTTATCACCAGTGGTTAAATTCAGATACAATGAAGAATATGGCGTTAATCCAACAAAGGTAGTTTTTACCTTATTGTGGTACTGCATCAACTGTATGATGACCCTGATATCATCAGAGTAGTTCTTGATGGAAATGACTCTCATAATATTGGCTGCGTCTTCGGCGTCGGGGTCTTGGCAGTATTTATTGGCTAGCACAAGGCAGGCGTCCGCTTCGTGCACCTACAAATTTGTTATATTTTTGAAGACGTCAAGTAAGAAGATTGCTCAACAAAAAGCTGTGTATTAATATGCATTCATTTAATGTTTATTACATTAAAGTTGAAACTGTATAACAACATTTCTATAATTATCAAAAACTATGTCTGATAACATTTGCTTAGTTTCTTTTTACTGTAGTGCCACTTGATAAAAATATAAACGGATAAAATGTATATTTCAACATCTGTCCAAAATATCTTTGATTTATTTACCTACAGCTCTAACACTAAAATCTACTATCTTTTAAGTGAAGAAATAAGCATGAAGTATCATGCAAGACGGAAGCACAAATACACTAAACATACAATCAAAATGATCACCACGGCAGATAATATCTGCATATTAAAATAGATTTTGTAAAAAAAATATTAATTAGATTTTCGTTGTTTGCATTAGCGATCATTTTGATTTAGGAAGAAGCGGGTGGTATTAAAATTAAGAGGTAGTACTTATAGCCATGCTCACCACTAACCGTCGTCATTCCAAAGCCATGCACCGAAGACTTACTGTAAACATTCTACAATATCGACTATCGACAACTGTACTTCTATATAATATCAAGGGGGTGATTTTGAAAAGGAAGACTTTCTTCGGCTGCCATTAATGCCAATGTGTGTCCGAATTCGGACACCTGTACAGTACAAGTCAGCGATATCGATTGTTTAGAGTAGGAGTACACTCGGGCCAGCATCGCAAACAACACCCATTATTCGTACAGACAGTAAATAACATCGAGGCCGTGGCCTGGCCGGGAGAGGAGACACAGACGCACCGGACCAGCATGGGGCACCGTCTTTGGGACGCGCCGCGTGCCGGACCAGGCCGAACACACACTAACAGTAGCGGTAGCACAGATAGCGCTCAAGTCATGGCAAAGAAGGGAACTGTACATCGCTCCAACAGAACTTCCTCACGGAAGAAATCAGTGAACGAGCATCGCTCTACGTCTAGAGAAAATTCAGTCTGTACAATATTAAATCGACACCACTCCCAAAAGATCACACCTTGTGTGTGCAATGCTACTTACTTTTACCCTCTGTAGGTCGATTGGATTCATAATGGTGCCTTGAAAGAATTCCACAGTGGTAAAGTGTCTCTTGAAGAGGCCCTCGAGCTCCAGGTCGGGCGGTTTCCTGTCATCAACGCTCAGTTAACACTATAGGGACGGACGATCCACCGCCTGTCGAGGGCTGACCTTACCATGCACTCTAGTAGTACCAAAATACGCAGTCGTGTGATAGAACGCAGGCGTGTGCCCCGCCGTCACGCAAGCGTGGCAGTGCAACGTGACGGCGAGGCAATTTGCCATCGTGCCGTCGTGAAAAGCAATGATTGCATCAAAAGAATCACAAGATAAAAGTTACCAAAGTGATAAAATCCTACTGTGACTATGATAGCATTTTTTTAAAAGAAGATAAAGTCGGTCATATGCACATAACAAAAAAAAGTACTGGTTCACGTAGACGCGTCAATGATAAATACGGCCGTGCGGTAAACTAATGCCTGCGCTATTTGGTCTTACTCTAACCTTGACTCTCTCAAGGTCGACGGCATTCATCATAGTACCCTGAAAAAACTCGACGGTGGTGTAGTGACGCTTCAGGAGACCCTCCAGCTCAAGGTCGGGCTCTTTTCTGAAAGCGTCGTTGGATCATACATGATACACCACCTTTGCTATTCAAAATTCGCAATTCGATTGCTTTAATAAGTATTACTTTGTTTGAGTTTTTTTTGAGTAGGTATGTAACTTACAATTTAAATGTGTGTGCTTCGAGGTTTCAAGAATGTATGAAAACAATTTTATCACGAATTTTATTTGAGAGCTACAAATCTTAACAAAAACATAATTGATGAAGTTGCTTGAAATTCCGTAGCGCACAAAACGTTGTAGTTTATAGAATAAACTAAATATTTTCAGATCTAAGTCCGAAGCATAATTATAAATAAGTTTATTAGGTATAACACAGAAGCATAAACGATCCAGGAAATTTGGTAGTTTCGTTTTAAATAATTAAATTATACCTATTTATAATAAACAATTAATAATTAATTATCTGTGGGTTTAGCTAATTCAATTAGATTATAGGTATTCAGTAATCAGCAATTCTTCCGTGCTTACAAGAGCTGAATTGTTCAATCTCTTTACTGAAATTTAGTGTTAATATTTTAATGTCTTTGGAAATTGATATCGTGCCATTTTTATGAATGTGATAAAAAGTATATTGTGGTACCTGTGTAAAAAAACAACCTCCACGTCTACATCCTCTCGGTCTTCATGTAGGAAGTCTTTTAAAAAATGGCTCACTGATTCGTAGGTTATGTGTCCACATACAACTATATGCCTGAAAACCGTAACATAGTATTATAATATCGTCTAAGTATGTAATCCAAATAGTGCCACTACAACCAAACTGCATTAAAAATAATCAAAGAAGCAGTCAAAGCGGAATTTGCTGAAAATTTAAAAACTTTCCTTGAATTTCGATATTTAAGATTTAAAAAAGGCGGATTTGAAAACACTCGTGGCTTACAAAATTTAAACAAAAATTATAAGCCGTGACAGGTTTGAGAGGTAAAATTGTTGCGTCGGCTTACTTTAATTTTGAAGAAGCAAATTTTGAAGAAGCATCTTAATCGTAAAAGATAGGAAAGACAGACAGCAATTTGGAGTCTTATTTAACACCTGGGACCATTGATTACTAGTCAAACAGTAAAGTGAAATAAAGGTCACAACAGGGTTAAAGAAAACATTACGTGAAGAAGCATTACGAACTACAATACGACAAACAACGTCTTTATTTCCACCAAACTAGAAGGAAATAAAATAGAAAGAATGAAACACGGTGGTTTGACCAACGATCAGCGACTGTAAAAATATCGTTTAAACGTGACTGTACTGAAAGTTACATAATGCAGATATTTTATGAAAATAAAGACGTTGCCATTAGAAACCTCCATAATTTACAAATTTATTTGTTCATCAATTTGTGGTGTTGCTATCTATTACGTTAAATTAAAAGAGAAAAGGTTAGGTTCGGAATAAGATACGTGATAGGAAATAGGTTAACCACCACAAAAAAATGAACAGTTTGACTAGAAAGCTCAGTATCCTTCAGGATTTTGTGTAACTATTTCATCTACCACGCTACAAACAACGAAGAAATCATAACCACAACATGAACTGGTACGGGAGGATGATAAAGTGACTTGCAATGAAGAGTGTAAAATTTCACTACCCAAGAGTAATATTATACATAATTTTGGAGCTTCGACGGTTCCAAGGAAATTGTTAGATGATAGGAACATCGTTATCTATATAACAATAAGGGAATATACAAATTTAAGTTTAGGTAGTAACTGTGCTAATGCAGTGCTAAAGGTCCCTTGTTGTCTACAGATATCGATTCATTCTTCATTACATATGGATCGCGGGTGGGGAATGTATGTAAAAGCTTGCGTCTCAATAAAATTCTTTAAAAGGGTTGGCTATGATCTCAAATTTTAATGTTGACAATGATTTTAAAGTTGTGCTCACGTTCAGGATCCTCAATTCTTAATAAATTCAAATTAAAAACATTTATGCAGCATACATTACAGGGGAGTGTAGACAGACAGTCGACAGTCGGTACAATGATGGAGGTTATTGTAATAAAACGTCAAAACCAATCAGGGTAGAAAAGTGAAATTCATTAAATCATAGTAATGTAAATCAATTAAAAAGGTCAGAAAAAGTTAAAAATGCAAATTGCTCAAAAACTAGGAACATGCAAGCTATGTATTCATCTAAGGTGTGGCAAAGGAACTGATCTCATTTTTTATTAAAAATTTAACTCTACCTTGTAATTGTAATTTACGATTGCAAAAACACCGCAAACTCCAAATCAACAAATTTGGTATACTTAATGATTCGTGTATTGCTGCTAAGATGATATCAATCATGTCGAATGGTAAAACTAAACTAAATTTTGCGTTAAAAATGTCCTCAATGCACACAGCCTTGCCACGCTCTATGAATCTTTAACGTAAACATTACACTAAATTAACCGAGGGGGGCGATTTAAAGTATATATAACATTACAGACAAAACATTAAGAGGGTCAACATTAAGAATAGGTAAGAAAAGAGTAGAGGGATTGGAGTGGTCGTGCAGGCAGGGAGAGGAGAGCGAGCGGAGCACTCACTAGGTACGGCAGCATCAACAGCCCCCCGGCCGCGAAACGCGCGGGACAGGAGCTGTCGACGCGGGCACACCGGACTCCAACAACACTACGGTACCACTCAACATTTAACTCTTCGTACTAAGCTTACGTTCACATTCCTTACGGTACGGTAACATTACAGTAACGGTACGTTTACTAACAGAACAAAATCATGAAACCTATAATGACGAGCGATAATACTAGCCACTATCTGCTGATCACTATTCAACTGAACTCAAAGTCAAAGGTAAATTTACAATCAATATCGATTCATAAAAACAAAGACAACGTGCGGGACTCGCGTCCCGCCAAAGATAAGTGAGAACACAGAAGCGTGCTAAGAGAGGAAAAGGAAGATAGATGTCACAACACGGAACACATTCAACGGAACGGAGTGAAGACAGCGGCTCACCTGCGTCCCCGCTCATTCTTGAGGGTGCCGCCATACTTGGGTCTAGTGCCGATTAAGTCAATTATCTCTGGGATACAACTGGCAAATATCGCCTAAACGCCGACAGACAAAACAAGATATTCACATTCAAATCGAGTGAGTGGGTGAGCTGCAGCGGAAGAGAGCCGCTGGCCGAGCAGGCGAGGTGCCCGGCCGGCGACTCGCTTGCGCCAGCAGCTCCTGTCCGGCGGGCGCGGCGGCGGCGGTGGCGCTGCGGGCGCCTGTTACTGGGTGGCGAGCACAGGCCTTGCAGCACCGGCACGGACCAGGGCGGGGCGCGGACCGGGTCGCGCGGGCGGGCGCGCGGGCACTGGCTGTGTGTGATCGTCGGGACTCTGTGCCGGAGCTAGCGCTACAGCGTGGCGACAGGCATCGTGTGCAAGCGAACAAACCAAACACTACATTATCGACAGCATTACAAAACTTTACATCGGCTCTCTCCAGCTCTAGTCTCGTTAGAAGGAATAAAAAGCTCAATGATATCTCGAGTAAAATTTACGAAAAAAGGCATGTAGTTAGTAGTGCGTCGGTCGACCGCGCGCCTGTCTCTCTAGTGTGGGAGAGGGGCGCGGCCGCCGGGAGCTAACTCTTCGAGCATGCGCCACGGCACCGAGAGACCGATTCTAGTGAAGGATTAATAAATTTCATTAGCAAACTCCGCATTCAATCAACCAAGTCAGATCGAAACCGTGAGAGGTAAGAAGGCAACAAGCCATGTGGAGCGGGGGCGTGAGAGCAGGGTACCTGCGGCGGACGTCCTTGTTGTACCGGCCGCCGTATTTGTTCCTCTGCGCCGCCAGCTCAGTTATCTCGGGGATCCAGCTGGCGAACACAGCCTACGATACACAGCAATACCGAGGTGAGTGAGGGCAATGCCGCCCGCGCCCCGCCCGCCGCCCCGCCCGACCCGGGCCGCGCCCGCGCGCTCGCACAAGGCTGTGTGGCTCGAGTGTCGTCTGTCTGCGTGACGCGTGTGTGTGTGGCTGACGTGACACGTGACTGTGGAAGGGTGCGGGACTTGGGTGCCGTGCCGAGCTACGCTAGCAGGAGCTACATCGTAGCAAGCCGTGACGGGACTCGTGACCGGGTACATGCAAAGCCTAGGATACGTACGCACTACTCGATGAACAAAACTTAAAAAGAAACGGAATCGCCGGTTCCTAAACTAGGACGATGGGCATTCGGTATAGACGCTTGGTAGTGCACGCGCACGAGCCAGTCGGCGCGTGCGACTGCTGGTTACGATTCGTTACGGCAGCAGGGTGGCGGTGCCACGCACTCTGTTGCCGGACGAGCTCGCTGCCGCGGTCGTTCGCGGGGCTGGCGGGTGCGCGCGAGTAGATAACACAATACATCTGACGGCACTGAGCAAGCTGTTGTAGTACGTGATGATTTCAAATCGCCTCCGAGAGCTCGGGCGATTCAGGCCGAGCACGGCCGGCGCATTACACACGGCTGCGGACTGAATCGCCTTCACTTTCGTCAAACGTTTCATATTATCAAACTGATACCTTTTTCCGTGTTCACGCTTCAGCTCGCCACTGTACTTGGACCTACTTCCTACCAGCTCTATAATTTCAGGAATGCTACTAGCGAACATTGCCTGCAACAGACCATGGTGTCGTCGAAAATTGGCTCTTGTGTACACGGACACCATCGCGTGGTGCACGACAATGTCCACCACGAGTATTGGCATATCGTATGGTGTGGCCGGTAGCGGAGCAAAATTAAAATAAATAAACTGAAAGTGTGTGTCTACTGGTGATGTGAGCAACTGAATACAGCCAGGCACAGGTGCGACATGCAGAGATCGCGAGGTGGGAGGGGGGACGCGGCGCGGGATGCCGGCCGGCGCGCGGGGCGCACCGTCAGCAGGACGCCTTCACAGTCCACTCCGACAATTAACTCCTCGTACTCGTACCACAGGCCCCAGCAGCCTCTTATGTCTCCGTTACAACGAGCACGCTAAGATAGATTTTTCAGCAGCGCAGACGTGGTAGTTCATTATATCACATAACAAAGCAAAAGAAAAAGAAAATACATTCATGCATTGACACTGTAAAGCTCAAATCGTGTTTAGCGATGATCCTTCGAGTGGAAGCAAAGATTAAGACGAGACTGCACACGCGACGGCGAGCGCTGCGCCAGGGCCGGCCGGGAGGCGCTGGGCTCGGCGGCTCCGACGGCCGAAATCGAGTCACTGTACATGCTCTAGGGTGCACTAGACAGGCTTACATCCATTCAACGAGCTGTGCGGTTAACCAGTATGCTTGTCTAATTAGTCCCTTGCCAAATATATATTTAGGTAGACATTCGGCAGATTTAGTACATTTTCCTTTTGCTTTGTTATACATAAGAACATAAGTATTCCAGCCTTTTATGCAAGGAATCGCAAGCGTGGCGGTTAGTCGGAATAACTTCATACTCTACTTGATTACGGGCAACATAATGTCTTACGACTTGAAGGCCTTTACAAAATAATGGTGTTTTTAAGTTGAGATAAACTTGCCTCTCCTTGCAAATCAACTTTAGGGTCAAATTTATTAACAGTTAAGTGTATTTCATTATTAACATAAATTATTTATTATTTATTTCAATTACATATTCTTAAAATTGAAAATGAAACTTACCAAGCCGACGAGGAGAAAAAACACCAAGAAAGTTCTGCCGAGAACCGTATGACAGTACACATCACCGTAACCTACTGTAGACATGGTAACTATTAGGAAGTAGACACACGTCCAATAAGGGAGTGATTGGGCGTTGTCAAATTCCATTGGGTCGCCAGAGTTCTCCAACTGAAAAGCACAAATTAAAGCTGTTAATAACTTTGACAAAGGAAAATAAGAAGCAAGTGATTTTTGGTCTTAAAAATAATAAACGTATAATATTGATAATGATCTAGTCGTCATTCGTCGCTAGAACTAAGTTATTTTAAAGTATTTAAAAATAAAACTGCGTAAAGTGATGTAACTCTTTAAAGATCTCACCAAATGAATTATGCCGGCAGCGGTCAACCACACGGATATAAATATCGAAACTAATTGCGCCAAACGAATTGAGCTCGATGTTTTTAATATATTGAGATACTGCAAAATATCAGGCACGGTCATTAAGCGTAGAGCTCTGAGAAACCTTAGCCCTGAAATAGAAAAGAAAATATGAACATGGTTTCTATAAACCTGCAACAACAACATAAGTCTACTCGTGTATACTTGTACTCTTTAGCTGCGATTGATGAAATGTGGTCTACATTTTAGCTGGTCAATATGAGAACGGAGCTAAAATTTTTTATTTCTCTACATAAAAAATGGGATATTATATTTGTTATGAATATGTACGATCACCAGCTGAACTCACAAATTACTATCTAGCCTAATTTTTTTGTCGTATTGCAGTCTGTGTATTTTATTACGAAACTTTAATGTTTCGAAACAGTATTTTTATATAGTTTATGTGTTCAAAATATTTTCTTTTAAATTGACATAATGAAGGAAAAGCTCACCTATCCACGTTCTATCCAGGTATATTGATACAAAGGATGGGGGTATCGTGAAATAATCTACAAATGAATACATCTCGAGCATGAACCATAGTTTGTCACTAGCTGCTATAAACTGAAACAGAAAGCATAATTTTAACACGTATTTAAATAGTGGAAGTTATTTTGAATAACATTTTTACGTCAGCAATAGAGTGAATTCCCAATCTGAAGATCGATCACTTGAATACTTCCAGATCCCGGTGACTTGGTAATTGAAAATACTTACTCGTATAAAAAAGTAGACCATAAAAAATATGTTAAAGGCAAGGTCGATCTGCTGAGTAATATTGTCACTCCATTTCTGGCACTTCTCCACCTTTTCACTGAAACCACGGACATCGATGTTTACAAAACATAAACAAACACATACATGCAAACAGTTACAAGTCACGTCAAAGCTAACACTAACAAATCAGCAAAAAAATAAATATAAGCTAACATATAGGTACACTATCTGTAGCGAACATGTCGGACGACATTCATTTAACATTTGACTCACGTATTCCTTTATTCAGCATTATCACAAGATTAAAAAATTAATAAAATAAACTACTGAATAAAATTTTATAGGGTAACATCACAAATATTCGTGCCCTACCTGAGTTAGATTATACTTACGTACGTTACATAAAATAAAAGCACATACCTACAATATTTGGGAGGAATATGTGCGATGTTTCCCTTAAAATAATGGAATTTTGTTACCTGGACGCGTCAATGAAGTAGATGATCAGCGATGCTATACTCAGGATGAACACCAACACTACCTGAAATAGAACGATACAGGAACTTAAACAAAAAGGAAATCAAAATACAAAATAATATTTGAAGAACTTACAGATATGATCGGAAGTAAAGTTGTGAATAAAAGAAAACGTAAACGTAACCGTTTGTATACTCATTCGTTACTTCTTTGCTTTCTTCGATATACAAATTTACCTTCCTGTTTTTTCTTTATTCAATTTAAATTATGCAGCTTTTCTGGACTTTTTGTTGTTGGACTGTGACACTTTGTAGAGGTTTTGATTGTGTTAAGACTTGCGGTGTTTCTCTACAATATTATCGAACAATATAGTCGAACAATTATTTTGATTATTGATTGAGGTGTTAGTGAAACGGTTCTAAAGACAAAGCCATCGAGCTATAATCCAGACATCAAGTAACTAATTTATATAATACAACTAGGTAGACAGAATAAGAACATTATCACGCATAATAAATTAATATCCACATGTGATTTTTAGAAAGACTTAAAAAAGGCGACATTTTATACGCAGTCACAATTGCATCGTCATCGCAGTCCTCTGCTGGACATAGGTCTCTCCCAATGCACGCCACCACACCCCGGACACTCCATACAACGGTCGAAAATTGTTTACCTACTACTACTACATACAGCAAGGCGCTATCTGCACACGCGCAACTGTGTGCGTGAAGTGGTAGGGTTACCCATCACTTTCTCGCACTATTACGTTACGTGATCTAACGCGAATCTGTTATCTATGATTCAATTAATAGAATCCTAATAATTATATATGTCTATTAGGTATTTATATCGATATATTATTATATTTTTCATTAATTCACTTACTAGAGTAATATCGAAGATTTATTTAAAAATATATTAAAAGCACTTAAAATGTTATATTTCGGACATATACTTTTAAGTAAGGTAACCAAGGTATTTGAAATTGCGTGTCCAAGTTTAGTTATAATTAGATACATTCACTACCTACGTAATATTTATCGGCACTACGAATAGAAAATTCGCGAAGTCATGGCGTCTCATTATATTGATATAATAAATCTGTATTTTTTATACATATATATATTATTCTGCAGTAAGTAAATAAAGAAAACATAACTGAATGAGTCTCAGACATAAGTTTTTTTTACTTACTTCGTTTCATTTTTCGGAAAATGATTATAAACAGCCGTGCCGTACACAGCACGATTCACGACCATTATAAATAGTAACGTAAAATTATGTTTTATATTAACGTACAAGTTTCGTAATGAAAACATGAAAACTATATTAAAATATCAAAGCCGTCTTCGCGCGAAAACTGCTCGCCGGGAGCCTTGTTGTCGTTCAGTCAATGTGACCGGCAATGTGCGGGGCGTGGTGCGGTATCTAAAACTAGGGAGGGGCGGAGAGTATCCGTTCTCTTATTCTTTATTCTCTGATGCCACTTCACCCGGTCCTCAGCTTGTCGCACCCATCAGCTACCGCCGCAACAGCCGCCATTCGCAAAGCGTCAGTCCGTTTGGCGAGAGGGAGTCCTATATTACGTTTGCAGAACAGTCTCCACTCAAGAACTCGCTTCCCCATCGGTTATAAGTTCTTCAACAGATGTGGCCAGCCCACTGCCACTATAGCTCGTTCCACAACTCGCTGAGCAACTTTTGTTTGATGGAGTAGCCGTATCGTGAATGTTCACGTCTCGGCTTCATATGTCATAACGGGTAGCATGCACTGATTGAAAACCTTCGTTTTCAAACTTTGCTCAATTTTATAATAAAAAATTTAATGTTATTATTATTGTGAATATGTATAATGCACTTGCAATTGATTGTGTGATTAATGATTAATGATAATAACCGCTGTCCTTGTAGAGTAATTCCATAATATCATGTTAGTCTGTGACGGTTCCATTTGTATGGATTGGAAATGCAAAAGTTAATTTGTAACAGTTAATTTCAACTATCTGCTTTCTGATATAAAATGCAATGTCACACATCTCACATGGTGACACAAGCAAAGCATTGCTTTATATGAAGCTGCTTTTAGTGTTCTGACGCCCTAGAAACCAATGCCACCGAAGTGACACAAGAATAAGCTTCAAGTCATATAATAATTTAAATCTTCTGAAATCAACGCATGTTAATATTACAAAAAAACCTTTGGGTAGTGTTGAATAAACAATTTGGTAACTTGCACTCACAAACGGAAGGTAGCTTCCAGTTGTGGGTGCAAATTACCAACACGTGTCTTGTCATTTATCCTGTGTTTTAGGTTACATGACGCCAGTAAAAATCAATATGGGGTGCGTTAGTTGCCCCCGCGTATGACAGTATCTCGGCGGCCGATCTTTGTTAACAACAGAAGACATCATCGGTATCACATTACTGATAATTAACTATCGATTAAGGGTTATAGTCAAAGTGAGTAGTTATTATGTATAGTAATTGATCGAATCGTGTTCTCTTCTTACACAAGAATGTCGAAATTCGAACTTAATAATTCAATATCTATACAACATATAATTCCTTGAATCCCGCTTCTAAATACTCGAAACTGCATCTATACTTGTACATGCGTCGATTCTTTATGCTAGGGGAAGATAAACCACACGGTTATTATATTAACATAAGAAAAGATACGGTTGCGCTTTTCTCGGAAATATAGGATGGCGTACTCATTTTGTTTCTTGCCTGAAAACTGAAGTGAACAATACTATACTACGCCTTTAAGTATTAAAATATGTAATTAGAGGCTTGGTCATTAATTACACTTATGTGTGTTTATGGAAATAAGTTTTAATGTTGTGGCAATTTAAATATTCAGAATGGAACAACAACAAAAACATTTAGTTTTTTTTGTCATTTTTCATTTTTTAATCGTGTATGTTTGTTTTCTATGGTCTCGGTTGACTGACCATGGGAACTGTAAAAGGCCCGAAACGTTGGTTTGTTTCAAAACACAAATAATAAAAATAGTTTCATTTCATTTCCTATGTGCAATAATCGCGAATACCTAAGAACTCGAAACAAAATCATCATTATATAAAATCATGCTTAAAGAAAATTTAATTCACAAAGTTAATTCAGTTAAAGCAATTTGTTTTTTTCAATGAACACCAAAATCATTCAATTGAAACATTTTGCAAAGAAGAAACTTTACTGTCGTCGATTAGAAGTGGCTTTTCACAAAGTTTCAAAAGTTTTTTCTACTGAGTTTTCTGCTGCATCAACTGCTTGGAATCATAAAGTTACATTTCAACTTCTTACTTAAGTGCCTTGAAAATGGCACGTAGGAAGACAGAAAGGCTCCAACTTAACGTAAACGTACGATTTTAATTACGGTAATTGATTTAACAATGATATAATATCGGGCACAGTGCAATTACGCGTAACTAGCATTTGATTATGAGTGTAATTTAGTCGCCAAATGAAATTCGCGTAAATGTCGTGGCAACCAAATTAGCGTAATTTACGGGAATTTATTGCCATCAGGCCGTAGACAACATAAATTAATGCTTACTGTGCAAAAAGACAGTCGTAGCCATTGAAATAACAAAGTACCTAATAACGTTAAATCCCTCTCCTGTGAAATTTGATTTGGTGCGCTTTTTATCAATACTACGTGGATTTGCATTAACATCGGAGATATGTTGACTTTAAAGACAAATTAGTGGAAGTAGCATGGTGATACTTTAGTCTATAGAAGATAAAGAATGTGTTTTCCACTGGAAAATATTTGTGTGCGAAATTCGAAAGTTTCGTTGTAATAAGCTTAAGTGTAGCATGAGAATCGAACTAAGTATGATTAACGATATTTTGGATGCTCTATAATAGCATATATCTTAAAATAAGTGTGTACCCAAAGTTAGTTTTCCATTATTTTATGTAAGAAATTAACATATATTAATAAAACATTGAAATAAGGAAGCCGTGGTAGTCTTATGGTTTGACCTACTGCCACTCAAGCCGAGGCCGAATCCAGTATCATCGCATTCACTCCGAATCAATCAGATCATTAGAATCAGATCCGAATTCTATCTCTAATTTCTCAGAATTTATGTGTGAAATTTAATTTACCTGTTAATTTGAAATTTACCATGAGCTTTTCGGTGAAGAAGAAACATCTTAATGAAACCTGTATGTCGAAGAAGGTTCACAACGTAAAACGTGTGAAGCGTGTGAAACACGGGGACCGTTGGGTCAGGGTAGCGGACGGCGCCGTAGGAGAGATGTGGACGAGCTTTCGCGACTCTATGGGGCCCATAGCGAAGCCTGCAAGTTGTTGCGGGCTGCTATCCGCAGGGCAAGGGACCTGGAGAGGTCAGAGATGCTGGAGATGTTTAACCGAGATCCGTGGGGGAGGCCGTATAAGGCGTTGCGGTGCAAATTGCGCCCCTGGGCGTTCCCATTAACGCAGAGTCTCCAGCCCGAACTGCTGGACCAGGTTGTGAGGGCCGTATTATCAGAAAGGGCGCACGACGCACCTCCGATAATGGCGCCGGCAGCGGAACCAAACCAGGACGAGGAAGGTAGCACGGGTGCATACGAGGTGACTGAGGCAGAGTTGGGTGCAGCGATGTTGAGGTTGCGTGCCAAAAACACTGATGGGGTACCTGGTCGTGCACTGGTGCTGGCCCTAGATCACCTAGAGCCACGAACGAGAGCGCGCATGAGTGCCTGCTTGGAGCAAGCCCATTTTCCTGAGAGGTGGAAAATTGGTAAGCCTGTCCTGCTCCAAAAAGTACAGACCGATCGTGCTGCTGGATGAAGTCAGTAAGCTCTTCGAGCGAGTGGTCGTCGCTTGACTCATAAGTGCCCTGAAAGACATAGGACGGGATCTCAACGCCAAACAGTTTGGTTTCCGTCGAGGCAGGTCCACCATTGACGCCATTGCACAGATGAGGAACCTGGCGGACGAGGCGATGGGCAATCGCGAAGTGCTCTTGGCGTTGTCTCTTGACATCGCCAACGCCTTCAACACACTGCCCTGGTTCACCATACTAGACGCGCTGAAGTTCCATCG